CAGCCGCTAGCATCTTATTTTTTGGCTTAAACTACGTGATAACAAGCAGTTTCAGTTTATTCAACTGAGTTTCGTAGATAACTCCCCAAAGTACTAGTCCAGTTATTTAGAATCCAGTGCATAAGATGTAATGATATAACATGGCTTTAAAATATATCAAATCTATCCTACACTTTCTCCGACGTGTTTGATAATCCACTTTTTCATAACTTGTTGAAAATTTCCAACATGAGTCGGTATAAATATCATGCTTAATTTCACAGCTCATTACATAAAAATTCTGATAAATATGCTTATCAGTCTGTGATTCTAAGGAACAAAATGCTGCTATTCAGAATTGGTCAACATCTTCAGAGGTACAAGGTTTATTCTTCTCCGAGACTTCCTTGTAGTTGATATTTACTTGATCTAAAGATCTTGCCTTAATAAAATCTATCTATCAGATTGAAAAGTAATCAACAAAAATTTGTGAATATCTACTTTTTTTAATTTGTACAGGCTCTCTGTTTAGTTAGGCTCATTTTCATTGATGCTACTGAACTCATATATTGTTATGTGTCCATTTTACTTTACTTGAAATCATTGTCGTTTTCACATTTGATTACTCACAGTTATGCTAAAGCATTTCAAGAACCTTTAGATTTCTAATATTTTCTGTGTGTTTTATCTATAATGGTTCATGTATATGATGTTTTAGATTTTATTTCTGTTCAATCCTTTTGAAAAATTCAAAGAAACCAAGATCATTCAAAAGTACGTACATATGAGTGTTTTGTATTCATTTTATTGACTTGTAGTGTCTTTCGTCCTACTCGTGACTCGGCAGCCAGATGTAACAGTACTCCTGTGAACAATGTTGTCCTCATTGAAACTCAAGTCTCGCATCCACCACTCTCAACGCCACGGTATTATCCATTAGGCCATCAGAGCACAAGAACCACATCTTGTGCAATGGATATCGTTTGTTATTTTATACTTTTAATTCTCCCGTCGCTATACTGCGTAGAAAGGCTCGATCTCAGTTGGCTGATGGGCTCCTATGTGGATGCCTCGATATTCATGATGTTGTGAGTGTTTTAGGCAATTAAGTTGTGAGTTCTTCAATCCTTTTACTGTTTATCTTTATTATTCGACTACCACTGAACACTTGAAAAGAGGATACCGAAGGTTAGAATACAAATGGTTAGCATTATCACAGTTTTCGTGATACGCCAAACTCATGGTAGGTATTTTTATCAAGTAGTTTGGAAATGTGATTGGATATTGTAAGACTGAGTCACTGAAGAAATTACCGTACTTATATATTGGTTTAGTTTAAAAGTTTTAACTTGTTGAACTAGTAGGCACTATTTTTAAATTTAGGCTTTAAAAGCCGGGAAATATGTTTCATTTTAACAAAGAGAATTTAGATGTTTCCTTTCATATCAAGGTATGTCATATCGGCAACTTAAATATGAAAATCTGAAGCTTGTTACAGCAGTATTTAGTGACCAGGTTAGTCATAGACGGATTGTCAAACATGAATCTAAGCAACCTTGACTCTCTAGAATGTTGTGCATTTGAATTACATGTCTTCCTCTTGTCCTCAGCTTTCACTTACCTCAATGACATGGAATCATTAGGCTAAGACACTACTTCAAAAAAACGTAACTCACTTTCAAGCGTTAGTTATTTAGGAACATGATATTTTAGAGTAGCACTAACTTTTCAATTGTCCATTTTGTTACCCGGAAAAAAACATCCGAAATTACCTTAGATTGTAAAGCATCCCCAAGGTTGCATTTTGTGACATCTTGTATATCTGAGTATGATCACTGTCCTTAGTATTCTTGCAAGCGTTAACTTCGAATACGATCGAAGAAGTCACCAAATACATATATTCTCAAGGAGATTTAAACATTATTCCTTTTTGATCGTACTGATTTCTACAAAGTCTACCGGCAATCTGATGGTGTGGCTATGGGGTCACCCCTTCGCCAGCTCTTAGCAGATTGCTTTCTGGCAAAACTAGAGAATGGTGCGCTGAACGATACTACTAGCCGTTAAGAGTTATATTGTCGTTACATGGATGATAGCTTTATAGCTCTCAAAAGTGAAAGTGATAAGAATGGTGTTCTGAATAGGTTCAGTAGTGTTCATCCCGCTATCAACTTCACAACGGAAGAGGAGAAAATGACAGTATGTCATTTCTTGATGTTCTGTTGATAAGGAGGTTAGAATAACCCTGAAACGAAGTGTATGTAGAAAGCCAACACCAACAGGTCAATACACGCACTTATTCAATGCAGTACCCCTCCAACACGAAGAAACCTGGTGAAATGGTTAGCATACTGGGCCTCAGATATTTCTTCAGAGGATGCTATAAAGGAAGAGTGCGCCGCCATCCGTGATCTGCTTAGTAGGAATGGCTACTCAGACAAGTTTGCAAGTAACCATATGAATATTACGAGGGTTAAGACAAAGATGCCAACAGAAGCAAATGTTCTTGAAGCTGAAATTTAAGAGTGACATTGCTAGTGAGATCATAACATAATGCATAAAAAGAGTCTTGCAAAAGGCATTCTCAGCCGCTAAGTTATGTCCCATCGTCTAAAATCGTGCAATTCTAGGTGCAAGAGATAAAGAGAAACTGCATGATTCTGACACTTCTACGTGCATTTATCAATCCAACTGCTCTTGTGGAGCTAGTTACGTTGGGCGTACAATGAGGCAGTTCCGTCATCAAATTTCTGAGCACCAGGGTCAAATCAGGACAATAAAGAGATCCATACTTGCACACTTAGTTGACACGGAACATCAAGTGGATACTAGAAAAACTTTCAAAATCGTCCATCAGACCCCAATTAATTTACTGTATGGGTTACAGACTCACTTACTTCACACAACAGAGGCGATTGCAATCCACTCTTACAAACCTAGCCTTTGTATCCGAAAGAAGTTTGTTCAAACACTTTCATTACCGTGCCTGTCAATATGATGTAACTTCTAAGTTTACTTTGTACACCTCTTCCCCTTCTTTTTTCTATCAATATTCATTTGTTTCCTTATTATTACGTAATCGCTTATTGTGAATGACTGAACACTCACCAAAAGTTACTCCATTTACCTAAGAATAGCCTGCTTCATATTTCCAATTTTAGTAACTCTCTTGATTATTTACACCGTTATTTCCGAAATATCACCACGTGATTGGTTATTTGATTAAATTGTAAACCTCCTATATATTAGTGTAGAGCCCAAGATTAAGACCTAATTGAAAAGGAGTATATTTCTTCGCTCAATCAGTTTTTTTTCTTAAAGTCAAATTGTCCTTGTCACTCTGTCCCCCAAAAGTAGCATACAAACGATCGCATATATGACCTTGAAGGTCAAATAATTAAAACCTTTTTCTTTCGAGTTTATGGTTTGGAATTTCATGACGTTAAAAGAAGTTACATGAAGGTAAATCAGTTGGCAGATAAAAGCATTTTTCTGTTTGCTAATGTTGATTAAGTTTTTTTTTTGGGGGGGGGATATAAAAACCAATTGCATAAGGGATTATTAGTAAGACCTTGAAATTACTTTGTGATTTATCTAACTTCAACAAACGTAAACTATATTTGCTATCTGATCTGATATTATTAACAGTACAGTTCATATCAGATAGAAAAAAAATAAAGATCAAGAAAGTATTTATCAATTTTTGTAATCGATGAGTATTTTTTTTGAGCAGGTATAATATACTTAAGTTTTTGCTTTATCTCTTGTCACTTCACATTTTTTCTGGCTTGTTTACACTTTTAACAAACAAGCAAACGGTGAAGAGATTATATTGTTAATAATCACCACCATCCTATTCTATCACAACAATGCACTACGATTATTACGAGTACTCGACAATTTAATGACCAATCTATACATCATAATCTCTTTTTTGGTGCACAGAATTATGAATTATGTGTGGTCATATGTTTATATATCTGTCTCTATTTCTCTTTACATGCCACACTGAACCATCATCATCATAATAATAATGAGAGAGCTGACGTTTGCTAAAAAATAAGGAATTTAAATCATAATGTATACGACAGCATATATGCTTATTGAATCTTGAATGATTGACTTATTATTAGTATAAAGTGAATATATCATAAGAATATACTATAGGCAATCAATGAAAGAAACAAACTGAAGAAAATTCATATGTATGTTAATGCATATGCATAAGAATGAATAATAATGATATTAATACTGAAGATAATCATAAAACAATATTATCAAGATAAGATCAATTTAACTGTCTTTTTTTTCTTTCTAAATTAAATAAAGAATTAAATTACTCTATGTTATGTATTCATTTTGATTCATTTGAAACATGATTTGAAAAAGAATGCTACACGAAAATGAGTCTGTATCTCCAGAAAAAAACATAAAAGATAGTTGAAGAAAGATTCAATAGGAAAAGGAGAGAGAAAAAAAACAGACGAAATTTTTATTTTATTCGAATATAACTTTATTATTTTGTTCAGAAAAAGTAAAGTTAGTTTAGTTATTCATCAAATTATCATCCATAAGTTTAAATGGTAATTAAAGCTAAATAAATTACTAACTTTTATGCAACAGTCTTGTAGCGTAGATTTTAAAAAGCCGCCCTCCAGACGGTATAAATTCTGTATTGTTCGTATCTTGCATTTTTATCATTATATATATATATATATATATATATATATATATATATATATATATATTGTTAATTATGAAAGCATTTTATGGTATCATTATTAAATTGGAATAATAAATTGCGCAAAAATTCCTATTGCCAAAAAAAACAAGATAATTTGTTTAAAATATATCTTTATGATATGCATAATGTAGGTGATAACAAGGTTTATCAATGTTTTCTGAATTCAAAGTAGTATACTAATTTCATGGAGAAATGTTTTTAAAAATAAACGATACGAAAGTATTTATAATAATAATAATAATAATAATAATAATAATAATAATGGTAGTAGATAATTTTAACGATGTAATTTAACATAATTCGATGGTAACATTCCAAATTGTCCAGTTCGTTGAACTGTGCCGTACATCCAACCTTCAGATATAGGTTGACCATTGACTATAACATCTCCAGGTTTGAAAGTTACTTCATCATCATCTTTAGCTTCATAACTATACTGAGCAATAAATGTCTACAAAAAGTAATGATAATGTACATAGAAAAAACTGTACTAAAGTAGGGCTAGTATTCATATTATTATTATTTGCCTAAAAAAAATAGTTGTTTAACCTTCTTACGATAGGTGTTTTCTACACTGGAGTTGATGTGTAAGCCGTTTCTTGTACTTGTAAGGCAGTGTATGTGGTACTATTACGTATTGCTTAACCGGCTCTACTTAACTGGATGTGCTCTAGTACCTGCTCAATCAGTACATTACCTAACGTGTAACTATTAATAACGAAACTGTTATTCAAGAATATAATCAAAAGAGGGATATATTTAAATTAAGTCAATGTAGAAGTGATCATTAAGGAAATGTTTGTGCTATCTAGCACAAAAGGAGCGCAAAATAGTGTCAAGGTCTGCTCGTATGCATACTCGTTAAAAAACAACCCTGAAATACCTTAAGTATCCAGAGGCAAGCTACACGTTTATTTAGTATTATTTAATTCAGTTTAATTTATTCATTTTGGTTCTAGTTGCACTTTGGTGTCAGGATGGCGCACTACACAATCGCCACATAAAAAATGCCATTAAACTGTATCTTATACAAAGGGTATTTCTTGTTATTTAACTTTGGTAATATCTACTTTTCACCTTTCAGTAATGAATTATCCACCTGTTTTGGTATATCAGCTAATTTTATCGATGTTTTAAGCAAAGAAAAAACTGCTTAAAATGGTGAAGAATATTCACAGCTCATAATTCATATATTGTGATAAAGCTAGCAAAACGTTTCAATATCATGCTGAACATTCTTGTCAATGCACTGTAGGTTCAAAAAGTAAAGTGAATAAATTACATATGTATCGATTTGATAATTTATTGAACAATTGAAAATAAGTGGAACACATGAAGGAAAGTTTTTTCATGTTACTAAAAAAATCCTTTAGTGGTACGTAGTATTATGACTTTTCGCAAAAATAGAAATTAAATACTTGTAGTATTCGAACAATTACATGGGCATTTATACCAATGAATGTCATTTCAACAACTATTGGCTTTAACCCGGAAGGAATGTACATTTTTCGTCTTCAAAACCAATCCTTATTACTATTATTCCCTTGGGTTCCTAATGGAACATAGGGCTTCAGTAGCACGTCTACACTCCACTCTCTTCTCTGAAATCTTTTCAACCTGGCTCCACAACAGCCCACTAGCTCTCATTTCTTCCTCACAAGATCTCCTCTATGTCACCCTCGCCTCCGACACCCAACTCGTCGCTTCCCATCTGGGTTTCACTCGAGTGTCTGGCCTGATGCATGATGTCCCCAGTCAGCCTTCTCAGTGTGTGTATACCCAATCCATCTCCACTTCCTTCTAGTGCATATTTGTTGGGTGATAGATTCTTGGTTGGTTCGTTCCCAGAGTGAGTTCCTTGTTGCTTATTCTTATTATTCTGGCCGTCTCAGCTTCAGTAACAAGCCACCGTAGGCAGTTGTTATTGAATGTCTGTACTTTGTTGGGAATGCTTCTGGTAACGCGCCAAGTCTCTGAGCCAAATAGAAGCACTGACTTGACGTTAGTGTTGAAAATCAGGATGTTGTTCACGCTTTATGCTGAGCGGAGTGCAGAAGATCTCCACACTGGTTTCAGGTTAATGAAGGCGTGTCTTGCTGTGTTTCTGATCCTGACTTTGACATCCTCGTCTGTGGTGCCTGTAGTTGAAACAGTGCTGCCTAGATAGCTGAAAGAGGCTACTTCCTTTAAGTTTGATTGGAGCCTGTTACTGCTGTTGTTTTTGTTTGGGCATCTTCATCACTTCTGTCTTCTCTACGTTCACCAATCCTTGGTGAGCTAAATATCTGAAAGAATACAGAGTCTCTTACTATCGAAAGGAAACATTTGAGGAGCACATGTCAAATGGAGCACGAATAAAATCACTGGCTTTGTTTTCATCACCCACAGGTGTCTGGTATTAGACAAAAATATTTCACTTAGAAAAAACAAAGGTACTATAGTTATCTTTTTAAAGTCTATTTAAAAGTATTAAACTGTTACTTAAAATTGACTACGCTAAATAAACAGTAGCAGTACCAGTAGCACATCGCCAATCATCGATAAAACGAAGTGGGTTTTCAAACTTTCAACTAGGGTTTCAAGCTCAACAGAAGTAAAGGTGTTGGAGAAGGGACTCAACTTCAATGTAGCAGTCAACGAATTGAAACCTGAAGATGTCACTCCTAAAATTGAAACATCAATAAGTTCAGTAGACAAGACAATAGCAGATGAAGTGCGAGTACAACGTGCTCTAACACTCAGGCGACAGAATAAAACGAAACAGAATTTACCAAAAGTAGAAAGAGAAGCTTTGAAGAACCTTCGGAATGACAACAATATAGTAACTGCTAAATCTCATAAAGGCAACTCAACAGTAGTGTTAAACAAATCTGATTACTTTCAGAAAGTCAAGGAGCATATGGAAACATGACCGCACGAGGAAATTAAGAAACTAATGGACAGCATTATGAATAAGGTTCGAAGAATCACGATGGATCTAATGCGCCGAATAAAGCCATTTCTTGGTGAGTCAAAATGGTCTAGTTTAGTGCCGAAAACTAATAGTTCCAGTAACACTTATAACTTTATTAAAATTCATAAGCCACGTTATCTTATTAGACCCATAGTAGACTTTAGAAACACTCCTACTTATGATTTATCGAAATATTTAGCGATGGTACTAGGTCCAATTAGAAACCGTTCTAAATCGAGACTTAATAACTTTTATGACTTGAAGCATACATTTAGATGACAGTAGAAAAATGGCTAGTTTTGATGTAGCTAGTTGCTATGGCTCTGGAAGTAGTCACAAATGAGCTCAACAATGACCATGAGCTTACACTATGAACTAAGGTACCAGCACATGAGATCATGTTACTAGTACATCTATGCTGAACTTCCACAATCTTTAAGTTTCAGAACAAAATATACAAGCAAACAGGAGTTGGCATGGGACCCCTTATCTTGGTAGACGTATCTATATAGTTTGGAACGAATAGTTGTCAAAACATTCAGTCCTACTCCAGAAGTATGGTTTCGATACACAGATGGCACGTTTGCAGTGTTGAAATCCGAGCATATTTGCAGTTTCTCTACATATTTAAATTCAGTAGTCAATGCAATCTAATTCACCTATGAATTAGAAAATAGTGAAGGGATATAGTGACTTTGGATTGTAGAATGAAACGAAAACATAATGGGAGTTTAGACACCAGCGTCTACAAAAACCTTCACATTCAAATCATCACTTAGATTTCAAATCGTCTTACACTACGTCAGTTAAAGTTGGCTTGGCAAAATGTCTAAGTAACAGGGCCAGAAAACTTACTAAGAGAGATGATAGATGACTAAGAGACGAGAGACATTAGAGGACACCTTACTCAACAACGATTACCCTCCTAAATTAATTGATAAGTTCCTTAGGAATCGTAAGGGAAATATGATTGATATTAGTAACACATGTGTTAATAGTTGTGATAATGATGTTAATAATAATAGTCACAATACTGTGAAGAAGGAATTGAAAACACACAAGAAAAGTACCTCAAACACATTGAGTAGGATTCTCAATAAGACTGGCTGGAATGAGAGTGACATTTGAACCTACAAGCTCATTCAAAAATAACCTTTGTAGGTTAAGAGATTCTGTTGATCCAATTAGGCAGAATAATTTAGTTTGCCAGATCGCCAGCAAAACGTTTGAGGTTCAATACATAGATTAAAGTAGTCCACTAGAGTCAATTAGGCTATCCGAGCACAAAAAACATAGCTAATTCGAAACTGGTATATCCTAGTAAGATAAGGAATCTAGGAAAATCTCGGCCATAGCTATGCATGAAATTACACACACACCTACAATAAGACGAGATTGGGTGAAAATCCTTAAAACTAACATAGCGGAGTGGAGGGAGAGATTAATAACTGAATCTATGTTTGTCGAATCAACACCTGATATATGCAACGGGAATAACTCAGCATTTATTCCGGATATATTGAAAATCTTACTATCCATGTCACAGGGGGACAATAAATCATGTCTGAAGCCCAATCTAGAAAACAATACACTTACACTATGTGGTAAATCTAATACATCAATAAAAATGGGATTCTCTCTGAATACACCAATTATTCGGATAGGGGAGTGTTTGTCGTAGGACCTCCTAAATCTGCGAATGGTTAACAGTGACTTGAAAAATGAAATATTTAATATATATATATATATATATATATATATATATATATATATAAGAGAGAGAGAGAGAGAGAGAGAGAGAGAGAGAGAGAGAGGGAGAGAAGTAGTATTCATCATGGACTGATATCAGTTGGAAAACCATTGAAAATCTGGGAGAACTGGACAGCTGTTTCGTCCAACTAGCATGGGACTCCTCAGCAGTACGCACCCACCACCCGGCTAGGGATCGGACTCACGACCTTCAGGTTTCACGGCGAACGGGTTAACCATTCAGTCACTGGGTCGGTTTCCAGTGGTTCACAGTTTCCAACTTCTGTCAATTCACGACATAGCGCGACTGTCACCCGATCCCTGGCCGGGTGGTGGGTGCGTACTGCTGAGGAGTCCCATACTGGGACGAAACAGCTGTCCAGTGCTCTCAGATTTTCAATGGTTCCCCAACTGATGTCAGTCCATGATGAATACTACTTCTAAATTAAAAATCCCCATTCATCTCAAAAATTATATATATATCATATCTGCATATCAAGGTTGATAATAAATGATAATAAAGTTGATAATGTAAAACATACCCCACCGAAACCAGAGTTATTTGGCCCGTCACGTGTTTGTGATGAATGGTTATGAAAACTGTAAGAAATCGATAAATAAGTATAATCACCTTAATTACGATCAGTATTGTACATAAGTAAGAATCCTAAGAAAACGTTTACCGGGAAATGGATATCGACCAGAGTTCATAAATAAAAACATCATAGTGAAACGTTTAAAACAAGATTTAGTTTCCGTGTTGAAAAAGTTATCATATATGAACCTTGACTTCAAAGGTGATCCAACTGTTGATATCCAAAAAAGGATAATTTCAAGTTTTCTGAAAAGAACTTTCTCTATATCAACTCTCAGAGTAGTCATTCTCTGGTTTCCGTTAACGCAGTAGAAGCCTAAAAGACAAGATCCCGCATTTGGTCACCTCGGTATTTGTACATATTAGTTCATCTGCCCATGTAGCACTGAAAATATCCATCGTTCAGCTTTGGTCCTGTCCAACAGGGTCCATGAACACTATCCCGAGTGGTTACAAATATGTAACAGGGGATCAATAAGAAGTGTGATAATGGAACATCTAGTACACACTATTCATTTAGTTTGAACAACTACTTCTTTCAAAGTAAAAAGAAACTTGCCAAAGTCAATGCGTATCCATCTCCTTTGTATTGCTGAGACTTAAGCAACTCAGAAAGAAAGAACGGAATTCTGCATACAAACTCTTGCTCCTTTCATAGTCTTAGTCTTCGGCTTTTCTAAACTTTCCCTCCTCCTTCTAACTCTTTCTTTTCATTCATATTATCAACTACTCATTGATTCTATACCCACCCCTATTACAATTAATTTATGAATATTTTGTCATGTTACTCAAATCGTTATTCAAAGTTACTCATTTTCGATTAGTTTCTGTTATCTTTAGCAATATTCACTAATCTTTGCAAGCCTGAATTTTTTATTCCGTGACAATTTGACTTTGCCTATTACTATGCCTTTTCAATATTCATAAACACTTTGATTATTTTAGAATGAAAATCATATTTCTATCTTTATATATGTGTCACCTTATTGCTATGCCTAACAAACAGCTTCCATATATGATACAAACTGTCCATTCTCACCAAAAATTGTATATCAGTTCGATAGTACAGCTAAGTGAATAAACTCGCTGAAAAGAGTCTCTTCACATAGCAATTTGTGATTTATTATTTCACACAGGGTAATGTAAAAATTAATCATTATTTAATCGATATTATTCACCCATGATATTCCTGATTGTAGTGGACTGGATCATGCAACAAACAGTGAGGAGTGAGAAGAGGGGGACACGCTGGCTGGACCGGGGAAAAGAACCTAGAAGATTTGGATTTCGCCAACGACGACTTGTGTCTGATGTCGCACAAACTTGAAGATGTACAGGCAAAAACTAACAAGTTGACAGAAGAGACAGCAAAGACGGGACTTCAAGTGAATATAGAGAAGACAGAAGTGATGAAGATGCCCAAACAACAACACTAACAACAACAAACTCCAACCACCATCAATGGGAGAAACTTATAGGAAGTAGCCTCTTTCACCTATCTAGGCAGCACTGTTTCAACTACAGGCACCACAGACGAGGATGTCAAAGTCAGGATCAGAAACACAGCAAGACACGCCTTCATTAACCTGAAACCAGTGTGGAGATCTTCTGCACTCCGCTCAGCATAAAGCGTGAACAACATCCTGATTTTCAACACTAACGTCAAGTCAGTGCTTCTATTTGGCTCAGAGACTTGGCGCGTTACCAGAAGCATTCCCAACAAAGTACAGACATTCAATAACAACTGCCTACGGTGGCTTGTTACTGAAGCTGAGACGGCCAGAATAATAAGAATAAGCAACAAGGAACTCACTCTGGGAACGAACCAACCAAGAATCTATCACCCAACAAATATGCACTAGAAGGAAGTGGAGATGGATTGGGTATACACACACTGAGAAGGCTGACTGGGGACATCATGCATCAGGCCAGACACTCGAGTGAAACCCAGATGGGAAGCGACGAGTTGGGTGTCGGAGGCGAGGGTGACATAGAGGAGATCTTGTGAGGAAGAAATGAGAGCTAGTGGGCTGTTGTGGAGCCAGGTTGAAAAGATTTCAGAGAAGAGAATGGAGTGTAGACGTGCTACTGAAGCCCTATGTTCCATTAGGAACACAACTGACAAATAAGAATAATAATAGCAATCGATATTATCTGGAAAATTACCTTAGGTTTAACGAAAGTTAAGGATAGAAGTGGATGCTCACTATGTTAAATAGTTTGTTGAAGATCTAGGAACTGTGGTTTTGAAGCTTTCGGTAAATTATTTAAGATAGATAAACGTTACATGTCTGTGAGAAATTCTCTTTGAAACTAACTGTTCTGTTGATGTGACGCTAAAATAACCACAAACTAGTCATCCTGGAAGCTATTTACAAGGACTCAAAAAGAAATCTTTTACAGTATTATAAACCACTTCATGAAGTATGAAGAATATTTTCCATTCAAGGTAGGTACAATGCAGACGGATAAAAATTGAAAAGCCAATAAAAACATTGAAAGACTGAAGCGCCTAGGTTGAAACGTCTCTTTTTGAGCCGAATTTAAATTTTTAACTTGCATCCTACAAACATATATAGTTGATACAGTGAAATGGAGAAAATCTACCATTCAACGATACTAAGCATTCAGTCTTTTCAACTGAAAATCAGCTTATGAATGAAACCATTTCTTGTTAACTGTCAGCTCGTAAATAAACAGGCGTTATATAATCAGAAGATGAAGATTGTCTGAAACATGTGGTGTATTAGCGCTATACATTTCGAACAGTATGATCACATAAGGGCTTATCGAACTATTTACGAAAAGGTCCAATGAAATTAATAGGAAACATAGGAATAGGAAGGGCAGAGAAAAAACAAGAATCTTAATCACGTTACTCTTGATGTGAAAATTACAATCAATACTACCATGGTAGGTTCAAAGTGAGTACAAAGTGTTTTTGCATACATAAATGGGGTTTGAACTTACGGAGCTTCAATAAATTTAAGCACTCGCCTCTGATCACTATTATGTAGTATTTTAAAGGCTGTTTTCATGTCTATCCTATGGTTAGTTTCTAGTATATGTTTAGACATAGACGAAGATGGATGTTTGTCACTTATCGGGTCTGTTGAGGTCATTTGTTTTTGTAGCCATTTAGGTACATGTTCAACCAGCCTTAACTACATATCACAATTACTCCTCCCTATATATGTCTGTCCACACATACATGTAAATTTATAAACATGTTTCAGATAATCTTTGTCTTTCATTACGCTGTTTAAATTTATCAAACGGAACAGTTGCTTTAAAGTTATATCATCAATCCATGAAGGTGATTACACTTATTAAACGTAATTGTAGTAAATAAATATACGACTAACAATGGAATAAATGGGCCGAGAAAGTAGTAGAAAATGCATTCCAAAAGCAGGGCATTATATATATAAGATATAAAGAAAAAAGTAATTCAGCGGAAGATGTAAATTCATATCAGTTGCAAACACTTATGTTGAGAGTCATAGTAAAGGATATTTTGGATTAGTGAGAATCTGTGGGATACCGTTTTGTGAACACGATCCATTGTCGATAGATCTCTGCCACGGAAGCACTGAAAACCAATAAAATTAGTTTCGTTTTAAAAACTTTCGAACTTGTAAGAGGTTTATCCGTGACCTCAGAATGAATAAGACTAAAAGCATCCACAAAAAAAAAATGAAAATATCAACAAGAAACGTTAACCACCATTTATTAGCAGATAATCACTTACTTTAGATTGAGTGTTGAACCTCGAGGTATATTGATAGTTTCTGAAGAACCCACATTACCGTTGTTATTCATGACAGCGTTACCAGTGTTGTTATTTGCCGGTGGAAAAGCTAAAGAATAAAGTAGCATTAAGGCGAATTAATCTGTAAGTTCCATGGAGTTTTGTTAATCATAGATTTTACACCGAAATTTGAAATACCTCTTTCTACTTTCAATACGACAAAGAATACCTTCAGTGAGTACTTAAAGTTCAAAATTGTATTTCAAAAGATGTTGTCCTGATTACATACCGACACCTAGACGAACCTATTCGTGTAAACTTCAGGATCAAATAAAACTTACCAGTGCTCCCAGGTTTCCAGTGGTTCTCCAACTGTTATCAGTTCGTGATGAATTCCAACTGAAAACCAATAAATCCCCACAAACTTCTGAATTGAACAGACTGTAATAATCTGACAAACTAAAGTGTTGTTATACAATGTAGAATTCATCGACCTCTGTTGGCAGATGAGCTCTTATGGAGATGCCTGGATACTGTCGTATATTCCTGAAGTTAAATTGATCTTGGTGACTAGCAGAAGAATTTAGGATGCGCGTTTCACTATATTTCAGAGTTTTCAGTTGGTAGTGCCTACACCTCGTTGAGTATAGTTGTTCCCACTGAGGCTGGAACCCAGTACCCTTCTCTTCAAACGTCAGAGGGTTATCTAGGGCAGGACAGCCACCTCATGTGGAACGGGTATCAATTGTTTTAATGATACTTGGTACCCGTTGCACAAAAGGTGGCTATAGTGCCCTAGTGGCGATTGAAGGTAACCTTTTAAAAATATACGTATTTGCTCAAATCAGTTGTCTTTTTTCACTGAACTTTTAAAAGAGAATTTGAAGTGTGTTAAATGCTACATATCATTTGGCCGAATACTCTGATTAGTGTACGCTTTATGACTCTTGCTACTCATGAATAAAACTCATTTGGAAATACGAGGAAGTTCCTGCTTCCCCTGAGTTTTGAAGCAACATCATTTGGTGCCACAGTAATGGACTTTACAAATGATCCTTTTAAGTTACAACTGTCCTTTTGTATGAATGGATTAGATCTATGGATCGGATATCGTGTGGTAGGCGTCGAGTTCTAATAGCTCATCATAGGCTGATAACATAGTTCTAAATTGTGCCGGACGCAACCTAAGAAGAAATTGAGGCAAATTTGATTCCATTTCTCAGTAAATTTGACCCGTTATACCTCTCAAGTGTTAGAACTATACTGAATTTGAACTACATTGTTATATCAGATGGACAGAGGGGGCTCTGGACCCCAACTGCATGTTCTCTAAAGCTCAGTACAACTAGGCGTATCTGGAACCTTGAAGGAATTGATATCTCCTGAGAGATCCAAACTCATATCAACCAATGCTGCAGTTAGTGGCCTTAACAATTAGCTTTCTGGGTTGCGACTAATCTCCTTTAGTGCCGACTGGATGACACAAATCAGTGACTACTAGTCCAGTCTCTGTAGAATGATATTTGCCTTTACCATCACAGTTCCTAAGGAATCCGAATTCAATAGTTTTTAGGATGAATTGGGGTTCAAAGTTAACATCAGTGCAACACATCCATAATACCCTGCTACCTTCCATTAACCGTTTTGATCACTGCATAAGCAGAAGACAAGTGAGACTGAATATATTTCAGTTTTGCTTATCACACATGTTATTTTAACACTATTCATCTAAACAAGCAATGAATCCCATATTCTAAATACTGTTGGTCGGCTTAGTTAGTTGACCATATTCCTACCTATGAAAATCAAGTTAGTAAGCGTAAAGATCCAGCGAGAAAACGTTACAACACAAAAGCTTGGAAATGTGATGACACATGGTATTAGATGTTACAAAAATCCGACCATAATTTGACACCATCAAAAAATGATCATGGATTCTCGAAAGCTCTACAACTTCTACAGACATCACATCGAAGAAACAGAATGGTTACCTTATCGAGCTGTTGTTGTTAGTGTATAACTAACAGAAGTTCTCAGAGAAGAATCCATATCTTAGAATGTAGTGAAAAATTCATAATCATGTGATTCGTAACTAGTCAATGAATATCAACCAATATCACGTTATTTGATCTGAGATATTGGTCAGATTTGATTGGCAATTAGGCCGTTGAAGTAGCCTAGTGATATCATTAGTAGCTTTGAGGGGACGGACTCGAATCATTTAGAAAACATTGTTTTTTGAGACGCTTGAAAAAACGCTGTGTTTTAAAAGGGGCTTGCAGCTAGTTGCTAAAAACCAGCAAAACATATTTGTAATTTCTTACAAATGTTTTCAATTTTGGAACAGAACGATATGAAATTTGGATCACCAGGTCACGATGAATCAGTCCATGTTTCACCTCCACTTCACTCATGTCCCTCTATTCTACTATTTCAATATCATATTCTTTATGCTTATGTTGCTTATTGTTGTCACTGTGGGATGTAATGAATTGAATTAATGCAATACTGTTCCACATCCTTTCAGTTTAATAAACGTCTGGAGAGAAATCTGAAAACTTAGGACGTATAGTTGGGAGCCTAGCTCAGTCCAAGACTACACACCCAAAGTGGCATGCTTAAAAATATTTCCAAGTTAATAAACAAACCAATTCCATAGTTATTTCTGTTGTTATCTCCCATATAAAAAAGCCTAATTCATGAGAAGGTTGTGATACTGCTCAGCAACAAACTCAAAGCAGATATCTCTCTCAGCAAATCCTCTTGGAAACATTGATGCAAGGTTCAGTCCTTCAGATTATGGTCTAACTGTAAATGTTCTGGTTAACTTCTCAACTCTGCCTAATGCGGCTGATACTCGTACCACAGTGGATTAGAAAACAAGAGAAAGGACATAAATAAAGATATATTTTGTTGTAGGAAGATTCAGGTGATAAAGTTGACCTTATTTGGGACCTCTGAGTCACATGGACGCACAAATTTCTCTTAAAGTTAACATAGTGGAACAGGAACTCAGAAACCATTACTTAAAAAGACAGACTGGTATTAACTGGGTAAATATTTGAATTATATAAGTTTCCTGTAAGACGGATAATCTATACGACAATCTACGGAAGTAATAACGTTTGCATAATACTATCCCCTCGTCGAAGCGTTTTATCGATGGAAGATAATCGTTCTGGACTCCAGTAACTCTACTGAATAAAGGAAACCCTTAAAATAAATCTATAAGAAACTTCAACTTTGATGCATGATAGCATGGTGGTTATGTAAGGATGACTGTAGCACTAAATTACATCAAAAGAAACAATTTTCTAAATTTTAACAAGTAATGGAATGATGTGAGAATTTTAACTAGAAAAAGTGACAATAGCACCTTATTGGTTTTCAGCTGAGGAATGTAGGAACACAAATCTCAGGTTACTTTTGAACAACAGGTGTTGGATATCATTATTGTATCTTTCAGATATCACTTTTCTGTACAATCCATTGGAATATTACGTAATGAGCAAGAATACTATCGTTTTGATTGGGGTATTTAAAGCTCATTGTTCAATATTTCCAATGATAAGTCGTTTAAACAGACGGGTAATCCACCGTTCGAAGTGCGATTAAAGATTAAAATAATTAGAATTTGAACAAATTATAACAAGTTAGTCTGTAATCCTCAAACGACAAGTAACTTATATCACTTTTTGAATGCAGTGTAGATTATGAAGAGATGAATAGACTAAAAACAATGCTATCTCTCTCATAAGTTTTTAAAATAACAAAATACTATGAAAACCTATCAGTGAACCATGAAATCTAGCTGATAAGTTTTACAACTTCTCTATTAAACTACAGTAAATTTACAAAAGTGATAATCTAGAATTATTTTTTTGTTGAATCAAATATTCAAAACATTAACAATATTTAGAAGTAGTATTCATCATGGACTGATATCAGTTGGGGAACCACGGAAAATCTGGGAGCACTGGACAGCTGTTTCGTCCAACTAGCATGGGACTCCTCAGCAGTACGCACCCATCACCCGGCTAGGGATCGGACTCACGACCTTCAGGTTTCACGGCGAACGCGTTAACCATTCAGCCACTGGGTTGGTTTCCAGTGGTTCACAGTTTCCAACTTCTGTCAATTCACAACATAGCGCGACTGTCACCCGAGGTCATCAGTTAGCATCCACTTCACTTCCAACTGGTTGACCCTACAGGTCACGGCTTGCTTCCAGATGGATATCAGGAAGCTCTAATGAGAAGCTGTGACCTGTAAGGTCAACCAGTTGGAAGTGAAGTGGATGCTAACTGATGACCTCGGGTGACAGTCGCGCTATGTTGTGAATTGACAGAAGTTGGAAACTGTGAACCACTGGAAACCAACCCAGTGGCTGAATGGTTAACGCGTTCGCCGTGAAACCTGAAGGTCGTGAGTCCGATCCCTAGCCGGGTGATGGGTGCGTACTGCTGAGGAGTCCCATGCTAGTTGGACGAAACAGCTGTCCAGTGCTCCCAGATTTTCCGTGGTTCCCTAACTGATGTCTGAAATTTAATAAGAGCCTACTTCTCCTTAATCTAAGAGAATTACAAGCAATCATAAGAAAAATACTAACAACTTTATGAAAACAAAAGAGAAACTGATTAGAATGGTTCACTGTATCTGTTTTCTATATATATATATATATATATATATATATATATATATATATATATATATATATATATATATATATATATATATATATATATATATATATATATATATATATGCATGTAATTTTCAGTAAAGTTTTTAATATATAATCGATTGATACACCAAGATTAGATTTTGTAAAAATAGTACCTACTACTGACAAACCTCTGACATTTAGATAATTCCGCAGAAATGACGCAACTTCGATCATCTCTTTATTATACACATTAAATTGTTTTTCGTAGCAAAGCATTTGTCAGCAAACTAGACAATATCACGAAGACAAGTTTTAGAATTACATAAAACTTACCACTTGAGTAACAATCTATCCCTGATAACAAAATCAGTGTTACTGGGAAAAGAAACTATCAGACTAACAAAGATGGTATTAGGATAGATAGGGTTGTTAATTGACGAATC